AATATATATTTACTTAGTACAATTTTGACTTTTATATATAACAACTGTTAAAAATTTTTGAAAAATTCGGGAGGTAGCTTATTTTCGGGTAAGAGAGGATTTTTAGTTTTTGGCTCAAAAGTGAAGGATAGCTTATTTTCAGAGTAGTTTATTTTCAGGAATATATAGTAATCAATATTATTTAATCAATATATATATATATATATTTTTGACATTAAGAAGACCTCTTTGGCCTGAAAGCTTTTATTAGGATTTGAAATAGTGTTTTATATGCAATTATAACAATAGTACATCAAGCCACATGTGCACCTTTTGAGTGCCTAATTTAAGTAGTCCGCTTGAAGGTTCTACACTATTTGCTATACCTGCACCCCAACTAGGGGGTATCCATTTAAACTATCTGGTTATAACTACCACTGATTAACCACCTAATCCTGGGTTTACTTACTATTTATATGTGGATTTTGTATCACTCTGGCAAAGGATTACCGACTGTCTTAGAACTTACCAACCATTTTTGGTTAATCTATCCTCAAGGTAAACCTAACAGAGCAGTACATGTCTCACACATGTATTCACCTGCATGTTTCTATAACTTCTTCCTAATTAGTACATATTGGCCTGCCTTTCCATATTCGTAACTCACACCATCTTTTGGGGTGCTGCTGTTTTATGGATGTATCTCAAGCACCAACCTTCCTAACTAGGTGCCCATTACGTACTCCTTGCTCTTATTCGGTTCACAACAACCCCGATATTCACATTTGGACCGTCTTCTTACCCGGATTCTTTATCAGTCCCTTCCTTACTTCCAGCCAACAACCCGGAAGGGTCGGTCTGCCCAGGCTTTAGGTACTTAAAAGATGCTCTTCCCTTGGTTCATACTTTTAGAGCATATGCCCTTTTTCTCCAGTGCGACAACCTGGTAATTCAGCTGATGAGTCCTCTGCTAGCAGATCTGGTCGCTCAGTTCTCCAATATCGGGCCCTGGTTCGAATTCAGCACTCCTGTGATACTACCAAAGATCACTGCTACCTCCAAATTCGGGACTTGCCAAATGGGTTTTCAGTTATTCCGGTTTCTTGGATTTATTATGCCAAAGCTTCCATAACTAGATGGTATGACCAAGATTACAGATTTCTAGATCCAACCAATAATCAACAACCGTAAACTATAGCACAGGCTATTTTCAAAATTCATTATTCATGGGATTTGAACTCTAGACCTGCCACTTGAAGAAGGTGACAACTAGACTACTACACTAAGTCGCCACACCTCTTTTAATCAATATATATATAAATAATTATAAATATACATATTATATATAAAATTAACTCTATCTATCAATTTTTGTTTTAAACATTCTTCAACAATCTATTTATTAGAACCAATTTAATATATATATTTATTGTAAACCTAAAAATTATTATATAGTTAAAACTATATAACTTAAATTTTTTTTTTAATAATATTTACTAACTCACATTCAAAACCCAACTTTCTTTAGCAATATATCCTAATTGAGACCATGTAGTCGATTCTTTAATATTATTTTCTTCAAGATATAGTATAAAATCATCTTTAATTTTTGAAAAATAGCCTTTTGGTAACTAAGAACAAAGTTCAGATAGTTTTAATTTTAATGGTTTAGTTTTATTTCATTTGAGTGACTAACTATTTGATATGTTAATTGTTGCTTCTTCGTTTTTTTGGTTTCAAGAAGTCTAGTAAGTAATTTTTGTTGTTTTTTATAAAAAAACTTTAAAATTTCTATTTGTTAATTTAAAGATAAAATGTTTAAAGCTTCTTGTATTGGAAGTTCACAATTAGTAATTGCTTTAAACAAGTATGAATAAGAAATAGAAGAAGACATAATATATAAAAAATTGAAAAGAAAAAAACAATCTTGTTTTGTTTTATAAACAAATAAAAAAATTATTTATATATTTCAAATTAAAAAATGATTATCCAGATTTTATCAAAATTATAATATATAATAATTTATAAAATTTGTAAATCATTAAAAAATTATTTATTTATAGAATTTGCAATTTATTACTATAGTAATTATTACTAGTATTGCTATATTTTAAAAAAATACTATATAAATAGAATTAAATATTTTAAATAAAAATATTTAAAATTTTTAAAAACTTTATAAAAACTAAATTAGAAATCTTATATCTTTTTTTTTTTTTTTTAAGCAGTCTTGTCTTTATTTATTTGAACCACTATATATATATAATTGACTATATAGTGTAATGCTCTAATCTAAAAAAGACTCACCAAGTATTTACCCAGTGCGACCCGCCAA